AGCAGGATTTATTGAACATTATTTGTAAAGGAGGTAAACTGGTGGCAGCCTAAGTCTTCATCTTGAGGGGATTAGATGAATAAATTCTGGCATGTCCATAGTGTAGGTCACTGTGCAATGATAGCAAAGAATGAGATGTGGACTCTGTGTACAGACTGAGAACAGTGACTGAGTAGGTGACAAACAGGTTACAAAGAAGTATAATAGTGTAATCTTATTTTTACTAAAAACCACCCCTCAAGATCTATGCGTATGTTTGTGTAAGAATAAACAGAAGATGTATTTCAGTCATTATATATGTATTATATATTTCAGGTGATATAGCATATATATTACCTGAGTTGTTACAGCAAGCATATGATACTTTTGTAAATCAAATGACTGAAGTGAAAAATATCAGTAAAAACCTAGATGATCAGAGTGAAAAGTGAAATTAAAAAATCACAAGAGATTCCAACTTCAAGTCAGAAGCTGCTCTGAGTCTGCTCAGCAGACAGGCTGACCTCCTGCTGCCCTGCAGCAGCCTCAGTGAGAGCCCCTCAGTCACAGATTGCAGACCTCAGTCCATTGTCTGGGATGAGCTACTTCACCTTAGCCCTCCTGAGGGGTCTGTGTCCAGGCTCTTTATTAACACAGCCAGAATCCGGGTTTAATGGTAATGACGTGTTGCCCTGGAGGTTTGGAGGCCAATGTCGCTACCTCAGAGGGTAGTCAGCCTTCCCTGGTTTGGGGACCTTGCTGCTTAGGGGCCCAGGCTCCTTGGCTTTACCTTCTGACCTTGTCCTGACACAGTGGTGTGACCTCTCTGAGCCCCAGTTTCTCATCTATGACAAGGGGATCTCAGTAGGACCTCTGCACAGACTGGTGGGGATGACATGAGTCATGTATAAAGAACTTAGCTGGAGACTTGGATCACTGTAAGCCCTCACCAGGTGTCCGTCCTTACTATGACAGAGCCTGACACTAACTGCTGTCAGAGACAGTCACTTAGAATTCATCTCACAACCGATGGCAGCACACCAGATGTTGTAGGATCTCAGTTTGGAATTGCCGTTCTAGACGTGCCCAGATGTAATTATTTAGGGCACAGTTTAAGTTGCTCTAACAAAGGGACTCTGAAATACAGTAGCTCAAATGAGATAGAAGTTTTTCTTTTATGAATGCACCAAAGGGAGATAGGGCTATAGGGTGGCATTGCCATTCTTAACACGTTGCTTTCATTTCTGAGTCCAAGGTGGTTGCTTCAGCTCTTGCCATCACATCCACATTCCAGCCAATGGTAAGAGGAGAAAGAGCACCACACAGCTCAGAAGTGATGCATATAACTTTTGCTGTCCTCTCATTCATTGACTGGAACTAAGCCACATGATCACAGCCAAGGCTGGAAATGTAGCTGGCTTTCTAAGTGCTCAGTTAAAATTTTGGTTCTGTTATTAAAGCAGGAAGGGGGAAAGGACATTAGTAGACAAGAAGCAGGCTTCATCAGCAGAAACCTGGGTGTTTCCTGTGCTCAACAGGTACGTTGATCTTCCAGGCCCTGTGAGTTCATAGGGGTAGGCTGAACAGTCTGTCCCTCTCTCATTGAGCCCAGAATCTAAATGAGGAGAAAGGCTCAAATAAGTAAGTGCCATTAAGGCAGAGTAGAGGGATAGTAGAATGTTTATTAAGGGCCTGTTTAAATTTAATTAATTTTTTGAGACAGAGTCTCACTCTGTTGCCGTAGCTAGAGTGCCATGGTATCAGCCTAGTTCACAGCAACCTCGAATCCTGGGTTCAGATGACCCTCCTATCTCAGCCTCTCCAGTATCTGGGCCTACAGGTATCTGCCAGAATGCCTGGCTGATTTTTTTCTATTTTTAGTAGAGATGGTGTCTCACTCTTGCTCAGGATAGTCTTGAACTCCTGAGCTCAAGCTATCCACCTGCCTTGATCTCCCAGAGTGCTAGGATTATAGATGTGAGCACCGCCCCTGGCCACTTGTTTAAATTTATTTATTTT